TGAGGATACCGGGCCATTTGTATTCTAGAATACTCAACAATGTAGATTTGTCTATATCCTCATGCTGTCATTTAAAGTTGTTCTCTATCCCCTGCTCTATAGAAACGAGGTTAAATCTAAAGGCTAGTTTAGAATCACCTTAAATATTTTGGTGAGACTTCTTTGTAGGTGATGCCGTATTTGTTATTCCTGCTATATCACATTTGGGAGGAACAATACTGAGCTATACCTCAGAATCAGAATAATTTTATACATAAATGGACATACATGAATATGTACGTGTGTGTGTGTGTATCTTTATACACATACATATATAGAAAGCAAGACAGACAGGGGCGCCTGGGTGGCTCAGTCACTTAGGTGTCCGACTCTTGGTGTCGGCTCAGGTCGTGATCTCGCGGTTTCATGAGTTTGAGTCCCACAGTGGGCTTCTCACTGGCGGTGCGGGGCCTGCTTGGTGTTCTCTGTCTCCCTTTCTCTCTCTGCCCTCCCCCCCACTTTTGCGGTCTCTGTCTCTCTCAAAATAATTTAAAAAATAAACTTTAAAAAAACAGACAGACACACAACATACCCAGGGTCCTCTCTGGCCCTGAACAACCAGAATTCTGATGAGGAAGCACGCAAAAGGCTGGCTGGGTGAGCTCTGTATGTTTCAAAGAGCTCCTTGGGTGAGTTCTGAAGCCACTGCTGAGAAGCCCTGTCTTAAAAAATGCCATCCCAGCCATCCCAGAAGCTTAAAGCTCTTTACCGAAGGGATTTTACTTCTAAGAAATATTTGCTGTATTTCTTTGAAATGGAACCACATTTTATATACTACTTATGAAAACACAGAAATACCTGCAAACCTGGGGAGTAAGACACAACTCTGAAGAGCCCTTTCCAGGAGGATTGACTTGAGCCAACAGAGCCTGGGTTTTGCGTGAAAGAAGGAGGGGGCATCTTTCCTCTAACTTCAGAGCCCTCCCTCTCAAAAAGGACAGATCTGGGCTCCCTGAAGCTTCCCTCCGGCCTTGCTCTCT